TTTATTTTATTTCTGAAAAGAAACCATGTTTCTGTAAAGTAGATATGTTAATCAAATTGAAATCAGTGCATACAGGTAAGATAAATACACGTTCTCTTACTGAAATGGGGGGGTTGGATGGCCGAATGGTTAGCACCATATGTTAGTCCCGAAATGACCTAGTTTGTGTCGAGTGGACGTTAAACCCCATTTCTCTCTCTTTCTCTCTCTCTCTCTCTCTCTCTCTCTCTCTCTCTCTCTCTCTCTCTCTTTCTCTCTTACTGAAATGGATGTCGTGGTGTCTCAGTGAGTAAGACGCTGACTCGTTAACCTGGAGGAACCAACCGTGTTCGATACTGGTGTTGGCCAATAAAGTCCATCACCATTTCCGGCGTGGTTGCCCCTTGTCAGTTTTGCAAGAGACATAGTGGTTCGGATGGGATGAAAAACCGAGGTCCCGTGTACACATTGGTATGCACATATGAGGAGAAATTCGATATATGAGTAGTCCGTAGCGTCCAGGAACTGTATGGCGTACACCCGTGTTCATTAGCCCAGTCGGTGCAGAATAATAGGATTTCCTTACTTACTCAATGACCTATATATTAACAATAACTTTATAGAAAGATATTGATGTCACGAGATTCGTTACTACTACATCATGTTCAATGATCCGTGGCCATAGATTGGTTTCTGATAAATATTACTTTACTTCTATTTCCCAGGCATATCATAAGCTGCGTTCACACTGCACACGCATTCAATGCGAATTCCGGAGACGGTTTCTTTCGGATTAAAAGCGGTGCGTCACTTTACAGCTTATTCGGATTGAATTCAAATTTAAACACGTCACACTGAATGCGCAGGCCCGTAGACAGCTTGCTGGCTGCAGAGGGGCAGTGAAAATTGGACGGCCGCAAACGCGTTTTGTTCCAGCCCAGAAAATCTTTCTCTAGCGAACATGGCAGTGGGCCATTGGACAAGGCAGTACAAAATATAGAACAGATAGATATCAGAACATAACCTATAGTGTGTTCTGTATACATCATCTTTATTATATTTTGGGGTTTTTAACTCTCACATCGCCCCTACAAAGTTTTATATAACTCAAACAGTATTATACTATATAGTTCATCAAAGGCTTAACCGGGTGTGCTGCCAGATATTTCGTATACACGACTCTTCTCGAACGCTAAGAGACCTAGATTCCTCTTCCGACGATGCGTCATTGATCGTCTGGTCGGACAATCTATACGAGTAAGGTACGAGAAGCCCAGGGATGGGCAGGGATGAACTCCATGGTTGAGGACCCACCTGCCAGGGGGTCAAAGAGGGCATCTTTTCGCTGTAGTAGCATTTTTTTACATCACTTAAAACGGCTACAGGTGAGTGAATACGCATAACCAGCAGAAGTGCAGGTTATGTATATCCAAAATGGATGCGCATCACCTTTTGCATAGACAGGTCACAAGGTTATCTTGTGTCAGCATGGTAAATTACCTCAATAACAGTAAGATTCTGCCCAACCTCACTGATTTGCTACCACATAAACCCCACTTGTCCCCCCCCCTCTCTGCCCCCCCTCTCTCTCTCTCATTGCAGTTGTATGAGTTTTACGCGTTTTTTTTTTATTTTGAACATCGACTTCTTAAATCAGTGAGTGGGTCAACTTTATAAACTCGGTATAATTAGTGTATCTGGTTTGACGGCGGATATGTAAATTTTCTGAAACTGTTGGGAATAATTAATTAACTAACATCACCATACGGAATTAAAAGATTCTTATTTATCTTGTACACCGATCTGGCCAATGTCTTGGCATTACTCGAATCGTTCTAGAACAATCCAATTACAATTAAATCTATATTTCGTTTCCAATTTGCAGTCCTGATTTTAGACTAGAAAAAGTCTAGTCCTGCACAATTTGGCGTCTGATTTAAATATGTAAACGAACTTCTTTAGGTAAAGCTGGGTCTCCTCCTTTGGTGTTCTGGGAAACTACTTAAAATCTTCATCAAATTACAGTACAAAGAACCGATGCATGAAACTGGTGTTTAAAGGGACCATCCCGTTTCTAACAGAGTCTCAGAAATGAAAGTCCATATATGTATGAAATTTAAACGCTAAAATCCAGAGGAATGGTGTATTTACCATATAACGTGAACGTCAAAACACTTATCCAGATTTCGGGTCAATTTTTTCGTTGAGTGACCTAATAATCTATTGCCGTTCCCTTAGGTCTATACAGTGCATGACAAACGTGATGTACTTAAAAAGGAAAGTTAAATGTCACCTACACGTTATTTTTATAAAATAAAAGTCTGGGTTTATCCAGACACCGTATATTACAACTTGGGACATCTCCATTTCCAGATGAAGACTCGCGTGGTTTAAGTTGATTGAAAACGTATTACGTATATTGAGTTAGTTGTTCGGCCCTATAAAGTAAAGTATTTTAAGAGCTTTTAACATAAAATTAAGCAGTTTTATTTTCCAAAATATAATCGAGAATCACACTTTAACTTTACTCACTTATTTTGTGCCACAGACACACTGAAATCGTAGGAAAGCCATATAGTCTTAGTTCGTTGAACGATCGACTTCAGTCGTAGACAATGTTTTCGATAACTTTAAAAATTCTGTTTACCATCAAAAATCTGGGTGCTATAAATGCAAAACACAATAGTCGTACATGCCCGACTATTTGCATTAGTCGCATGACTGGTTGCAACGGGTTACGACTCGTAGCGCAACCAGTCATGCTATTGGGTCTCCATTTTTACTATCAGTCTGTTAGTCGCGAACCAGCCGGCTTATGGGGTGACTCCTATGCTGTCACGGGCGCGCCAAGAACGCCCTATGTCGCACAATTAACATGGTTGCGGGTAATCGCAGGTTGAGTGTCAAAGGGGTATAAAATTAACAATTTAAGTCGTAGTTCCACGTGCATGTGTAGCATGACGCATGGTGTGTTGTGTAGAGAGTTGTCGCTCCTAGATGCGATGAGCACGCATAATAAATTCTGGCTATAATATGACGTAACCAGACAAGTTTGTACAGTTCACAGGAAGTTCCAGTTTGGACCTATCGGATTAGTGAGTATGTTTTGTAGTACGGAGGGCTTGACAAGCGTCTATGCTATGAATAACTAAGGTCATTCGGCACCCCTCGGTAACTCCAGTACTGACGACTTCTGCTTTATTGGAACTATTTTCATGATCCCGGATAAAAAATGGCGGCGCCCATTAGATTAAAATTGGCGGCACCCACGAAGACACATGTGAAGAGTCTTTTATCTCAAGAAACTGTATGTTGTTTGTTATGTATTGGAATAAATTTAAGCTAGGAAGAGTACCGGAGTCTGTCGAGGTTTGCCGAATGTCTTCGAACGGCGCCATTTTGAGAACTTCTTTCTAAAAGCGGCAAGTCTTCTTAATAGTAAAGCGCCATCCGCATCACAATTGCATGGGAGTAGCTACTTATCACTTACCGTCATACAGCCGAGGCTAGATGTAGGGTACCGGAGCTTACCGAGGTTTGCCGAATATGTATGCCATTGGTAGCATGTTAAATATGAATGCAGGATAAAAATTCCCGTCTACTTCAATGAACAAAAATTCATCTTTCATGAATCATTTTTTAAATTGAAAATGGATTAAAGTGAAAGAAGAAAATATTCACTAAAAGAGTGTGCACGAATGAATAAGATGGCTAAAAATAATATGTGTGTAGGCTTACTGCCTTTACTTTATTGCCACAGGAATGCAATGCGACACATCTAATCATCCAATGCGCAACATTTGGCGCATGCTCCGGAGGTTGGCCATCCTTGCTCTATTGCATTAAATCAAATTGAGATGATTATACATATTTTCTTCATCAAAACTGATGCTATCTGTTGCCAGAGTTAGAAAATAGAAATATGGCTAAGATAAAATAGAGTATCATTAATATCATCAACCCTAAAGGGTTACTAGATTCTATATCCTATCAATGCAAAATGTTACATTAGTATAATAGCACGTGAACTTGACTAATGGCAAGATTGTCATCGGTGTTCAAGCGCATTACAATAGACTATGAAACGAGACACCTAGGTAGTAGATCTTCAATGACGTAACAAATCACAATTTATATGGAAACAATCACTGGTAGCACGACGTTTCGACAACTATTCTCTTATCGTTATCAAGTACAAATGATAAAGATAAGAGAATACTTGTCGAAACGCCGTGCTAAATGTGTATAAACCAGTAATTGTTTTCCATAAAAATTGTTTTGTGTTTTTAATGTGCTCAATCAGTAAATGCCACTCAAGGCTTATAGTTTCATTTTGACCAAAATAAAACTTTTAAAGTGTAGATTTTAATATCATCACCGTGACTCTGCTTAAAATGGACAAGCTCTAGTAGTATGTTCAAGTCGGGAAAGATGCATACTACAATGGGTTACTATAATATGTTTCTGGGAATGAAACATTGTCCCGCTTATCTACAGTACACACTAATCTTAAGTTCGGTCAACTTTGAAATGAAATTGGATTTAACGTCCTACATGTCTGGACCGAATGATCTAACGAAGACAGGTGTACGCAATAAAGTGTGATAAGTTATGAGGGAAATTTCTCCCGGATAGCGGCACTACGACCTGCTATAATATCGAATTCCAACTGCCTACGTGTATACAGCACCTAGGATTTTCGAATCATCCGTAAATCCAGACACTGCCCTTGCCAGGCCCCCGTCCCGCACCACAGACAAGGAAAAACCACGCCGGAAAATCTCGAGGAACTTTCTCGGCTAACACCGAGAGCGAACCCGAGACCCCCTGCTTAGCGAGCAATCGTCTTAATCACTGAGTCACCGCGGCTCCCAACTTTGATCAGAAAATCGATATAAATTAAGCCATAGAAAACCTTATATTAAAAATCGTTTAGTAATAATATATCATTATATTAATTACGGCAAATTGAGGAATTTGACAAACGTTTGAAATAAACGTATGATAATGAACATACACAATTATGATTTAAGTATTTAATTTTATAAAGCTAATCATGTTAAACACATATAAAGATTCAAATTAAAATATACAATTATTATACAGTTTAAATCAACGAATCTTCTGGAACGTTATAATTTGTCTGGAAACAAAATATCATTATTTTATTTCCATTAAGTTGCCTATTAATTCATAATAAAGGCACCAAATTGTCACTCTAAAATAAAACCATTTAATTTAATTTATCCTTCGGTGCTTAAATGGCGATTTTCATTTTAATATCTTTAAACATACATTATGCAAGAGCTAAATCTGCCTATTGGAGGTCTTTCTTTGGGCCTGAAATGTTATCTAAATTATTAATTAGATATTAATTAATTTATCCAGACCATAATCAACTCTCGATGTCATCGCTAGCCTGCGATATTTACTGGATTAGGATCCAATCTGCTGCTCTACGTCCATTCATGAGTAAATCAAGAAATGGATAATCGAGACTATGTATTTTATCGTACCGACTTTAGTAATGATGATCGAGGTTAGGCCCAAAATTCAATCGCTAAATTCTCGGTGCAGAGTGGATCAATTTCACTAAAATTTTCAGCAAATTCCCTTTAGATTATCTAGATTTTAACTATTATAGTGGAAACTGCCAGCTCTTTATCTAATCTCCCATAATGTATCTTTACATATTACAATTATTACAAGTGATAAAAGAAAACAAAGTGTTAAAGATGCATTATGTAAGTGTTAAATCTGCCTATTGCATGGCGATTTTTTTTCTAGCTTCAAAAATTATATAAATTATTATTTAGACATTTTTTTACATGTCAAGCCCATAATCATATATCTAGATCTTCGGATTAACGATAATAAAGATAATCGCGACTTAATTTATTATCGTAGCAATGGTACTTGACAATTGAGACCATCTTGTCAAAATTATCGAAATCTTACATAATGCTCCTTTTATTTAAATAAAAAGTTCTATATGTTAAAACACTAGTACCCGCCCTACACACAATTTAACTTGAAATATTGCAAATCTAGCCAGATAACAACAATCTGTTGTCAATAATTACTGGAAGGACCCCCTTTAACCATGGACCTTATAATACAATCCATGCTTTAACTAACATATTAATTTCCTATCATTTTCTCCACTTTTATTTGTAAGTATTTAAGAAAAAAATCTGATTTTGATAATGGACTACAGACGCCTACGTCAACGATTTATGATTTATATGACATTAAGTAGATAGCCGATAAAATTGCATTTTGCGCAGGCTCTATAATCCACCACATTCTTAAATGACAAAATTATGCTCTCAAAATTATTGAGCGGGATATCATTGTTAAAATAAAAATGAAAAGCCATTAGCTCTCAATAAATAATCCAACGACACAACGTTTCAACGTAAAGCTGCGATCGTAGTTCATTCTCAGTATTTGAACGTAACAGTAAGAAACGTAGCCATTATCTTTCATGTATAAATAGAATTCAATGGGGGATTGAACGTCTAACTCGTAATTCGACGTCCGGACTATTGAATACAGACATATGTTGTGCAGTGTGCCAGGAGGGAAATTAAAAGTCGAATGACACTTGATATCTTTTATTTATCCATCTACTGACGGACAATTTGCATTTTAGCTCTTAATTTGATTTACGAGAAACTTCCGATTTCAAGGAGCTTCAATGGGGTATTGTTAAAAGTGGATAAATGAAATGGAGTAATTATATCAGCGAAGAATCCTGACAGATTCTTAATAAATTGAAGTTTACTTAATCAGGGTAAGATAGATAGAAACTTGACATAAAGAACATGAATTTATAAAAAAAAAATCGATGGCAGATATAAAACAATATCACGTTCTGCTTAAAGGTCAAATCGATCATGGTCGTTTTTTTATAGGACACAAAAACGATGTTATTATATTATTGACCATTTTGTGGGAATGTACAACATTGTGGGTTAAATTAATCCATTATACATGATTTCTTAAATAAAAATATAAAACCTATTTTGATATTGTGTTGTTAATTCAGTTTTTGATCAAGTTTATTTTTTTTGTTCTCGTTGATTATAAATCTCCCGGTTTTATTTCAGTGATGAACCACGCGGGCGTAGGCCATAGCACGATCTCATCATAAGGTCAAAGTAACAATCATCATCGATCGTGGCGCTGACACCCGCGTAGTAATTCAAAAATTCTTGTCTTGTGACCTTTCCATCCGGGCAACCAGGCGTATCTAAGCTATCCAAGAAGTTCCTTAAGGCTTCCTCTTCCGTCCATTCTCCGGAAATATATTTTGGGTGTCGCTTCACATTTCCTGCATAGACCACTGAAAGTACAAAAACGTGACTTTTAGTATTTGACATAGAATTAAAACATATATTACCGGAAATAAATCCCGTAACTTAGCAACAGATAAGAACATAGCAAATAAATGTCAACTCTTTTTAAATTAAGCAGCATATGCTCTGGCCAGGATGCGTTACCAAGGCAACCATAAGGATAAAAAAATGATATAGCCAACAAAGTTGACACTGATCAAACATGAGAAATAAAAGGCATGCTTGCACATCATAAGTTAAATGATAAAACAGCATAGATCGTGTCTGAATCATAAATTGGCTGACTGAATCTATCCGGGATGAAAAAATCTCTAAATCGAAGAGCGGTTTATTTATTGTTTAGTCGTCATCTGTATACATAAAAGTAAAATGAAATGGGGTTTAACGGCCTACTGTTCTGCAGTATACATAGACATAATATCTATATTTAAAAAAATAAAAAAAAATAATATAATAATTATAACATTGAAAAATGGGGTTTAACGTCCACTCGACACAAACTGGGTAATATCGGGACTAACATATAGTTCAACGTTATTTCAATAATTCGATTGCGCGTAGGTGTCTTTAGAAGTGGGAAGAAGAAAACCCACGACGTTGGACAGGCGACCATATTCCTTGTCACGTACAAGCGGAGAGTCGAAAAAATACAACTTGACTTAATGACAGACCTTGTGATCTAACGCGCAGGCCACGCAGCCGATTATTGTAATGAGATTGTATAATTAATTTTTTTTTTTTTTTACTGACTGACCTTTGTAGTGGACAGGTTTAAAATAGTGTAAATGTATGAGCGAGATTTTTTTCTTTTTTCTACCTCATGTCGATTTCTGCGGTGAACAAGGGGTCCAAAAAGGAAGGCCTTCTGCTGTTTCGTATGGAACGGAAAATCGAGGTCCCGTGAATATTACCGCGGTACGTTAAAGACCCCTATCATGTTGTAAATACAAATAAGAGAAGACCATAGTTCCTCTGTCCAGCCAATAGTTCATTCATAGCACACTGAATGGTGTATATACCCGTCTTTATTAGAGCGTCTTTATTATAACCTACGTTTAATCACAATTCATGTCTTTCTTCATATATGGAGCCACGGTGGCTAAGTAAATAAGGCGCTGGCTTGCTAGCCTGGCCCTAAGTTCACAAAGCATTCTCAGACTTAAGTTAAGAATTTACTTAACTTCCAATCACTGTTTATGGGAAATATCTTTGATCCAGAGGCAGAAACACAAAACTTGCACATAGTTTCTTATTGGTGTATTTAATACATTAAAACAAAGGCTCTATACATGGCTATATTGTAGTTAAAATAAGGCGAACAATTTCGAGTAAATTCTTAACTTAAGTCTGAGAATGCTTTGTGAACTCGAGGCCTGGAGGTCGCGGGTTCGCGTCCGGTGTTGGCCAAGAAATTTCATCCGGATTTTCCAGAGTGCTTTTCTCTTGTCAGTGGTGCAGGATGGAAGGCCTGGCGAAACACCGTGTATACATTGGCGTGCACGTAAAATATCCCTTGGCAATTGGATTTCGATGTAGAGTAGGCTGTAGCGGTGCCGCTGTCCTGGTAATATTTCCCCCATAGAACACTGCATGGCGTATGCCCATATTCATTAGCCCAGTCGGAACAGAACAATAGTTAATTTTATTTCATTTCATTTCATTTTCCAACAAGTACGCAGTGCCAGTGTTATCGAAAGCCTGCGAGAACTGAATAAAGAATATGAAGATACCCATGCGGGGTTAACTCTAACCTCCGACCGAAAGAGATCAGAATAATTAAACTGCTTAGTGCTTGTGAACGCAACACGACCCTGTCTTAAAACCCCCGGCGATTTTGAACTGGTTTAAAAATGAGCGTTTGAAAGGTATATTACACTCAAATACTTCGTATTGATTATTTAAAATGGCAGAAATTAATCTACCATATACTATTTGAAAAGGTCGTGTGATCATTGTTAGGTCGCACCTGTTGGCTTAAATCAGCCATACAGAGAAGCCATTATGTCATTTCCCTGTGATGACGTCACAAACTTCAGAACACTTTGATTGTTCCACGTAATGTCAGTCTGATTTTAATGTATTTGTTATGACGGTCTAATATCAAAATTATAAGTGATTTATGTTGATCATTAATATTATAGAGAGCTGTCGTATACGTAACAGACAGCATCGTAGGAGAACTGTTTACAAATGTCACCATCTTTCAAACATGTCACTTCCACACTCATGTCTATCTTCTGTTTATTTTAAAGGGACAGGACCAACATTTTATAATAAAATAAATTATCAATACACACAGACGCCGGGGGGGGGGGGCTTTGTCGGCCAATACTGGGTTCGAACCCCGGACCCCTCGCGTAGTAAGCCAGTGCCTTACTCACTGCGCCACCGTGGCTCCTTGTGTATGATATATGTCGAAGAAAATTGATCGAAAATAACACTTTTGCCACAAAAAAAACCTCTGATTACTGCGTGGGTGAGTGGGTGGGATAGAGGACTCCTACCTCGACCCGTTCCCCGCCTAAATCGCATTTGTACCAAATATATCATAAAAGCAATTTTATGTTATTTATTCGGAGTTGCATTGTATGAAAACAACAAAAGGTCAGTGGGGTTAGTTTTCAAAATACATTACCACTGGTAGTCACAGCAACATAATGGTTTCGGTCGTATTACGTCTTTCTTGTGTATCAATATTTCTTTTCATTTTGAGGGAAGCCTGGATTATTATCCGGGACTGTATGCGTTGTGGGCGCTTATGGGTGACTCCCGGATTCATTCCCTTGATTTGATATTTGATGTCATCGCTTGTATAGTCAGTGAAGTCTGTGTCTTGTCCGCAGGTTTGTCTTATCGGTTTTGTGTACGTGTAGTGCGGTCCGTTCTTAGACGTAGGTCAACGGGTGGACCCCGTTTCTACCTGGGGATGATACCGCAGACAAAACAAATATGTTTTGAAGCAAGTCTATGTTTATTGTCATGTCATGTCCAAGACTGATTCTTTCAGTTTAGCCTCGCCCACTCGAACGTGTGAATAGCCTAACTTCAATTAGTATTGTGGTCTTTTTGACTTCTGTGGTGAATTGTTTGTTTTCAATATCGCCTTGGGGAATTGTTAACACACTTCCAAGGTCGGCCTTTGTTGAATGTTCTATGGCAGGCTTATTATAACTGTTTATACGGGGGCGTATTCAGGACTTTTAACAGGAGGGGGTCTGGGGTGGAGATCACGTCAAGTTTGGCGTGAAGTTTGGGAGATTAACCGAGAATTTGATCAAATCAGAAGCTGTTTGACAATATTTCTTGGATAAGTCTATTTGTAAGGCCAACTCAATTTTCGTCAAGGTCCCTGAGATGTAAATAAGGTTAGGGCACGTGATTGTTGGCGAGATTGTAGCTGAGAGTTGGACTAGTTCCAGTGTTAGGTATTAGCGCTAGCTCTGTTTACATTTCATGACCTTTGACAAAATTTGAAGTTGGCCTTATCAAATAGATTTAACCACATTTCTGCTCATTTAGGCGCATACATGCTAAGAGCCTCCCCAACCGGTCTACAAATAGCACCCGGGGTTGAGAATTAGGTCAAATCGGCGTTATTCGACGTTATTTCCATGACTGTACGAGAAATAAAATATGCTCTGCGCGAGCAGGGAAGGGTCCCGACCCACCTTCTGGACAAGCACCGTATGATCTAATTTTATGGATTTCTTTCACGGTACATTCTTGGGCTTAGTTGAACGACAATGGATTTATTTACATGTTGTACTGAGTTCACCACATTGTTTAATATTCATTGTATATTTGTCTTTGTACATCGAAGTATCGCACTAACGTATATCATAAATAATGTATGAAAACAAAGGAATCTCTCTCTCTCTCTCTCTCTCTCTCTCTCTCTTTGTTGTTGTCGAGCCTACTTTTTTCCAGTGCCTTTTCCCTTTGTCAGTGGAGCAGGACGGGCTGTCTGGCAAGGGATAGTGCCTAGTGGAAAATGAGGTACCGTGCACTAGTTGACCTGCACGTAAAAGAACCCTTGATAGTTGTAATTCAACATAAGAGTAGGCCGTTACGCCGCTGTCCAGGCAAAATGCCCCTCATTGCATACAGCTTGGCGTATGTCCGTCTTCATTGACCGGTCGGTTCTGAACAATAGGACGGTCACCCCATTTAATCGTTTCTTTGTTTTATTGACAGTAGAAAATGGATTTACATCATTGCCATTGCCTGAAGATCTTAGTTTTTATCTGTTTCATTAATTACTTGTATGGTAAATACTACATGTTCTCTAATCAAAAGGTCATGTACGGGGGAAAAAAATCGATAAATAATCTAGATTTAATTGAACAATCGAACAGCCCCTTCATTATTACTAATTTAATTTATAATTCATTAAACTGTTCGCAAATATCGAATAACTGTCAATAATTTCGCGGTTTCTACTCTCCCCTAGCTTCGTTAAATATCACACCTTTTTTTTTTAAATTTTCAGTAACGAGCCTTTTTTTTTTATGTTATTTTTGGTTATAGTGTTATTTGGATAGCTACATGAAAGAAACGTCTTAATATCAGTCTAACAATGGTATAATTCCGTTCAGTATTTACAAAGATATGATTAATTAAAATTTCATTTAACTATGCTCTTCACTATTTAATAAGCAAGTCGCAATTTTGATGTCCACGAAAATTTAATCGTATATATATATCGGTTTGCATCCTAGCTGGGAGATTATATAGCGTTTGTATTCAGGTCCCGTGTACACTTTGGCGTGCACGTAAAATATCCCTTGACAGTTGGAATTCGATATAAGAGTAGGCCACAGTGCCGCTGTCTGGGCAAAATTTCCTTCATAGCACACTCTATGGCGTATGCCCGTCTTCATTAGCCCAGTTCGTAGCAAACAGTAGGACATTAAACCCCATTTCATTTCATTTCATTTTTTCTTAATTAAATGTTAAATAATCAATCTGAGTACAATACGCCGTAAAG